ACTAAATTCTACAATAGACACCTATTTCACTGTGAGCACCAAATTAAAACTCAGTGATGTCGTTTCTGGGCCAAGACTTAAAAAAAGAAAGAAAAATCCAACAAGATTTCTAAAAAGTTTATGTATGACAGAAAACTAAAGATGTATCATCTCTTGGAGGACTGAATACCACTCTTAACCACAACAACCTATCTGTAAAATTGAGTTTGTTTTGAGATTTCTAGGGATAATTGGCTGTGGCAGCCATCTTGAATTGCATTGATTCCAAAAGTGGTTTATGAGATTTTTTTCTAACATTAACTGTATTTAGTTAATGGCAACATTTTAATCAAAGATCTTGCTCAGTCTGTTAATGTGCAGATTGTGTGATGTTAATGCCTCTCAGCTACTACCACCCCAAATTATATCATAATGTCTATAACATTGATAGTTATAGTCTTTTTTAATTTAATTTTTTTTTTTATTTTAAGATCACTTGAATGTGGCGGCCATATTGAATCGAGTTGGCTCCAGAAGTTATAGATGTACATCCAATGATTACTTTTTGAAAGTTAGTCTTTTAGTGGCGGGCAATGAAAACTGAAAAAGGCTTTCCATAACAAACGAGGAACACTAATGCACGACCTGCAAGACAAAACTCAGGGCAACACAACACTGTCAATGTTAATCCAGACAAATAGACACATTTAGTCAGTCAAATTCATTGATTATCTAGAGTTTGTTGTCTGGACACTCAAAAGAATTCACAGACCAGAGAGGACTGACTAAACATAAAGCATGAAAAGGTGAATCAGAGAAGTCACTCCTTCAGATGCACATTAAATATACAAGTGTGCACAGATACATCTGCTGTGTATTTTTTATTCTTTTTCTTCTAGTTCTTGCACAGATTCACCCCACCCTGCAGCTGTGCAGCAGGTCAGCACTCCTTCATCCCTCCTCCCTGTCTGACTGTGCTGTTCTCACCATAAAAAAAAAAACGCTGCCAATCTGGCTGCGAGAAGACATAATTGCCATTATGACTGCTGTGGCCCTGCACATCACACAGTGTGCTGATTGTTCCACAGGGGAGGGGGAGGGGAGGGGGACACTGTCTGCACTGTGCAGGCGCCACACAATATTATCATAGCGTGACTACAGCTCATCCACACACACACACAAACACATGGAGGGTCTTGACTTCACCGTTTCCAGCCCACTTGGTCTCTCTGTAATCTTTCAGCTAAGCATAAAGCAAACATGTGCCTCTATAGGGCTGAAAAATCAAACATCTTTTAAAAAAAAAAAAAAAACAGCCTCTGAGTAAACACAGTCACACAGCGCCACCACCAATAGGAAACGGTGCGGAGGCTGGAACGCCCAGTGTGGAAGCACATGGAGCTGAGGTTTTGGGAAAGCTGACCTTATCCCAGCTCCAGTCCCGTTTCTCCATTTCCATTTCCAAATAAGAAAAGGTCACCGCTTAAAAACAGAGGCCTGAAGCCAGTCCTCTTGAGGAAAAAACAAATCACGCTTTTGGTGGAGTTAATATATACACAGCTGAAAGAAAAGCTACTCCACGTTTCCATTCCAAAGACTACAAATATGTGTGTGAAGGACATGAGAGCGCTGATTAGCTACAGGAAATATCTTTTCCCACCATAACAAGCTCATGTACTGCAGAGGGAAACGTCTCCATCACTGCTGCTAGATTCTGTGGTCGATTCTGTTCAGGAGCTGACGATGCTCTCCCTGCACAGACGAATGAAAACTTCATGAATGAGTCGACACTAACCACATCATCAAGGTGATTATAGGAGCGAACATACATGGGCCCATGAAGGAATATATGGGGTGCCGTTTGTAAAGTTACACAGTCAAAAATTAACAACAATATTTTGGTTTATTTAGCCTTTCATAAGAAAAAAACACTTTTTTTCAAAGTCATATTTTCACCATCTTATTCATACATTTATAAAAGTCATAGTTCACTAACTAAATATTTAATTTACAAACTAAATACTTAACTTGCAAGTTAAATGTTTATTTAGCAAGCTAAACATTTAGCTCCACACTAAATATTTAGTTTACAAACTAAATGTTTATGTTCAAGCTAAATCTTCAATGTACAAACTAAATATTTATCTTGCAAGTTAAATATGTAGTTAGTGAACTAAACATTTAGGTGTAGATTAAATATTTAATTTCCAAGCTAAACATTTAATTTCCAAGCTAAACATTTATTTTCAAAACTAAACATTTATTTTCCAAACTAAATATTTATTGTCCAAATTAAATATTTAATTTCCAAACTAAACATTTAATTTCTAAGCTAAACATTTAATTCCTAAACTAAATATTTGCTAACTAAATATTTAGCTCGGACCTAAATATTTATTTCCATACTAAACATTTCATTTCCAAAATAAACATTTAACCTGCTAGCTAAATATTTAGCTTGCAAGTTAAGTATTTAGTTTGGAAAATAAATATTTAGATTGTGAAGTAAATATTTAGTTTGGAACTATGACATTTATAAAAGTATGAATAGTGAAAATATGACTTTGAAAAAAAAAGGGGTTTTTTTTCTTATGAAAGGCTAAATAAACCAAAATATTGCTGATAATTTTTCACTGTGTAACTTTATAAACGGCACCCATATAGGAAAATGTGTCTCCTAACCAAAGGGTTAAAATACAATCACCTTAATTTGAGAAATGAGATATAGTGGTTAAAAGTAGCTTTCTGCACGGTCTCGTACAACATGGCAAGTTGTCCCGCTCAGTGTATTTATTGTGAATGACTCTCAGCTACTACCACATCAAGTTTCAGCTCAACATCTATAAAAGTATCTGGGTTTTGTGTTTTTAAAGTCAGCTGGCTGTAGCAGCGTTCCCAGCATTTCATAAAAACAATTTTTTTGTAGTTTTCTATGAAATTCCAGGAGATATTTCAGTCACATGAAACTCTCAGAACTTAGCTCCTGAAGTCACATTCAGAGATGACAGGAAGTATACTGTAGCCTGCTGTATGTTAATACAGCAATTATTAGACCTGTCACGATAACACATTTTTCTGGGCAATTAATTCTCTGAAATTATTGCGATAAGCGGTTCGCAGCCGAGTGTGATGCGGCTGGGATGAGAATCGGCACCTCCAAATCTGAGGCCATGGTCCTCAACTGGAAAAGGGTGGATTGCTCTCTCCAGATCGAGGGTGAGGTTCTGCCTCAAGTGGAGGAGTTCAAGTATCTGTGGGTTTTGTTCACGTTTGAGGGAAGAATGGAGCGTGAGATTGACAGACGGATTGGTGCAGCATCTGCAGTATTGTGGACTCTGTACCGGTCCGTTGTGGTGAAGAGAGAGTTGAGCTCTAAGGCAAAGCTCTCTGTTTACTGGTCGGTCTACGTTCCTACCCTCATGCCCCCAGGACACCTACCTAGGGAGATGCTTAAGGCATGTCCGACTGGGAGGAGACTCCGGGGAAGACCCAGGACACGCTGGAGAGACTTACTCTCGGTTGGCCTGGGAACACCTTGGGGTCCCCCCCCAGAAGATCTGGAAGAGGTGGCTGTGGAAAGAGATGTCTGGACCTCCCTGCTCAAGCTGCCGCCCCCGAGACACGACTTCGGAACAAGCAGAAGATAATGGATGGATAATATTGTTTGAATTATGAAAGTAATTAGTACTTATTGTCAAATATAAGGAGAAATGTTGGGTAATTTTTACGTGTAGTACCTTTTTTGACCACTGAAAAGCAGTATAAGACCACTTGAACCAATAAAGGATAGATAGTGAGGGAGCGAGCAGTGTGTCTCTTTAAGAACAATGGGAGGGAGCCCCCTTGACGTGACACGGGCTGTCTCTCCATTTTTCGGTTCTCAAAATGACGGACGCTCAGTGTGGTTTGAGCTCTTTAGCATAGCATTTTTCACACAAAGCTTTTTAATTAAAAAAAAAACCAGTAAACAAATTCTCAGCTTCTTTTTGCAGAGAAAAACAACTTTTTACACGAAGGCACAGGTTTCAATC